AGCTGATGTTTATCTGTAGAAGTTTCTTCTTCATCATCGGTTTCATGTGCATTTCTTTTTGTCGAGGCCATTTCGTAAAATACTCACTAAGTAAACTAAACTAGGGGACCGAAAATAAAAAGGATCGCCGATTCCATTAATGGTAACATTAAAATCAGGCAATGTGCACACCCGTCAATGTAGTCAAATTCGAACGCCAAAGCAATTTGGACAATGGGACATTCATGTATAACATACCTGGTACGCAAAATAAACATTAACACGTTTTACAAAAATATTTATACCCCCCTCCCCACACACACCAGCCGCACCTTGTCAACTATTACGTAAAACAAAAGGCCATCTAACTATTACGTAAAACAAAGGGCCATCTAACTATTACGTAAAACAAAGGGCCATCTAACTATTATGTAAAACAAAGGGCCATGTAACTATTACGTAAAACAAAAGGCCATCTAACTATTACGTAAAACAAAAGGCCATCTAACTATTACGTAAAACAAAGGGCCATCTAACTATTTCGTAAAAAAAAGGGCCATCTAACTATTACGTAAAACAAAGGGCCATCTAACTATTACGTAAAACAAAGGGCCATCTAACTATTACGTAAAACAAAGGGCCATCTAACTATTACGTAAAACAAAAGGCCATCTAATTATTACGTAAAACAAAAGGCCATCTAACTATTACGTAAAACAAAAGGCCATCTAACTATTACGTAAAACAAAAGGCCATCTAACTATTACGTAAAACAAAAGGCCATCTAATTATTACGTAAAACAAAAGGCCATCTAACTATTACGTAAAACAAAAGGCCATCTAACTATTACGTAAAACAAAGGGCCATCTAACTATTTCGTAAAACAAAGGGCCATCTAACTATTACGTAAAACAAAAGGCCATCTAACTATTACGTAAAACAAAGGGCCATCTAACTATTACGTAAAACAAAGGGCCATCTAACTATTACGTAAAACAAAGGGCCATCTAACTATTACGTAAAACAAAGGGCCATCTAACTATTATGTAAAACAAAGGGCCATCTAACTATTACCCCACGTAAAACAAAAGGCCATCTAACTATTTCGTAAAACAAAGGGCCATCTAACTATTACGTAAAACAAAGGGCCATCTAACTATTACGTAAAACAAAGGGCCATCTAACTATTACGTAAAACAAAAGGCCATCTAATTATTACGTAAAACAAAAGGCAGGCCATCTAACTATTACGTAAAACAAAGGGCCATCTAACTATTACGTAAAACAAAAGGCCATCTAATTATTACGTAAAACAAAAGGCCATCTAACTATTACGTAAAACAAAAGGCCATCTAACTATTTCGTAAAACAAAGGGCCATCTAACTATTACGTAAAACAAAGGGCCATCTAACTATTACGTAAAACAAAGGGCCATCTAACTATTACCCCACGTAAAACAAAAGGCCATCTAACTATTACGTAAAACAAAGGGCCATCTAACTATTACGTAAAACAAAGGGCCATCTAACTATTACGTAAAACAAAGGGCCATGGTGGTGAAGCGGTCGCTAGGGAGACTAGTATACCTTTTACCGGTGACGCAGCTCACTAGTTCCCTGTGACACACAAAGCAACAGTATGACAATCATCACCATCAATACGATACGTTGCGGTGATATTTTATAGCCTTTGACACTCCGACCAACCCCCTACCCATGCGTCCCCTGTGCCGCAAATGTCCTTAAATCAACAACCCACACCTCCCCTCTCAGTGCCTCCATAATATAATGAAGGATGGTCCCAAATTTAAAAAAAAATTACAACCAATCGTTTTTCTGGTTCCATTCACCAGTAGATCTTTATTAGACAGGGCTAAAACTTCAAAAAACAAAAGAAAAAAAAAGAAAAAATTATCTGAATTTTTTTTTTTTCACCCGGCCTCTGAAAATCGTAGTTTTGGCGGGTCTCGGCGTACAATCGTAAAAGACATCTCAAAATCGTACATTGTACGCCAAAATCGTAAGAGTAAACAGGTCTGAAATAGGTAAAAAAAAGTTTTAATGCCAACTATTGGCAAAGTCTATATGAAGAATCCAATGACAATGGTATCATAGACTTTGCTTCAGGAAAAAGGATGACAGCAGCACCAAGTTTCCACACAAAAATATACATAAAGTTAATTGGAAATCACCAGATGGAATAACTCACAACCAAATTGACCATGTTCAAATTGATTGGAGGCCTGGGTCAGACATACTAGACATAAAAAGCTATTGAGAAGCAAATGCAGACACTGACAACTACTTTTAAGGGTTAAATATAAGCAGAGATTAAGCATAATACACAAAAGCTGAAATCAAAGAGAAAAACAATATGACACAAGAAATGCTCCAAACTTCAATGCACAAACTACAGAGGAATTTCCCAATTAAATGTAACATACCAAAGACTGAAAAAACTAATTTCTAAAAGACTACAACTTTTCACTGAACAAATAATAGGTTACTACCAATGTTCCTTCTAAGGTTTGTTGGTTAGTGTGCAAAATCATACAGTTGTGTGCAAAGTTTTACAGCATCAATTTTTTTGTGTGCAAAATTTTACAGCCCACAAACACAAACTTACATGGAAATTTGGTGCGCGGATACTCAAAACTGCTGCGCGTTGTCTGTGCAGCTTAAAGGAAACATTGGTCACTACCAATGTGGAATAGGATAAAACAGATCAACTACTGATCAGATGCCTATTACAGAAATGTTACGAATCCCAGTACATCAAATCTATGAGGAATATAAAATGGTCTATGACAGCATCAAAAGAAAATATTTTGGCATACCCAAAAAACTGACAATACTGATACATGTAACATTAAACAGCGCAAAAAGCAAAATCTAGGTTCATGGAGAATATTCAAGGGAATTTTCAGATTGGACGAGGGCTAAGACAAAGGAGACTCACTGTCTTGTGTGTTATTTAACCNACATAAACTTACATGGAAATTTGGTGCGCGGATACTCAAAACTGCTGCGCGTCGTCTGTGCAGCTTAAAGGAAACATTGGTCACTACCAATGTGGAATAGGATAAAACAGATCAACTACTGATCAGATGCCTATTACAGAAATGTTACGAATCCCAGTACATCAAATCTATGAGGAATATAAAATGGCCTATGACAGCATCAAAAGAAAATATTTTGGCACACCCAAAAAACTGACAATACTGATACATGTAACATTAAACAGCGCAAAAAGCAAAATCTAGGTTCATGGAGAATATTCAAGGGAATTTTCAGATTGGACGAGGGCTAAGACAAAGGAGACTCACTGTCTTGTGTGTTATTTAACCCAACATTAGAGAGAGTTATAAGAACCTTACATACTGACACCCAAGGAACAATAACAGGATACTTTCTGAGGGAAATCCCAAGACCCACAACCAATAGGCACTCTACAACCAACAATTCAGTGTTTGGCATATGCATGATAGCACTGTTAGGGAAAAGTAGTAAAGACATATCAAAAGCTTTTTATTGAATTAGAAGATGCATCACTACGAGCAGAGCGGGAAATCAACAACCAAAAAAACAAAATTCATCACTATGTTAAGAGGAGAACAGGCTGATGAAACCATTAAAATTAAAAACCACACGTTTGAAAAAGTAAATCAATTCAAATACCTAGGATCACTAATAAATGAAAGTAATGAATTACTGACAGACATAAAGAAGAATATCGACCAGGAATAGAGCATACCTCATTAGTCACAAAATACTCAAAAGTAAGAAAATTACAAAAAAACTATAAATAAAACTGTAATCAGAACAGTTGTAACATACACAAGTGAAACTTGGATCCTAACAAAAATGGCAGATAACCTATTAAACACATGGGAGAGAATAGTTCGCCGGAACAAAGGATGAATATGAATGGAGAATACAAACCAACCAGGAATTGTATAGACTATATCAGGATCACAGGCTAGTAGTAACTAGTAGCAGAAATGAAAAAGGGCAGGCTATGCTGGGCTGGACACTTATAAGATTATAAGGAATACCAAATGACAAAGGAGTGAAGAGGGTGCACCACAAATACTCCAGAGGAAAACGACTCAAAGGCTTAGACTGCCTTAGATGGATGAATGATATGGAAAAAGATCTACAGCAGCTAGGAATCCAAGCATGCAAAAGAAAAGCATCAGTTAAAACAGTTAGGTCTGAGTGGAAGGAAGTGGTGAGGGAGGTCAAAGCCCTACATGGGCTGTAGCGAGACAGGGATGGATGTATCACAAATGATTTGGCTCATTATTATTATAATTTTAAGTGTTGAAACTTGGACCTATGACTATGGGAGTAGATATCACTTGTGGCATACCTACAGAGGGCGAAGGGATATTAATGCCCAGGGTGGAACTTATACTTATGGTAATATAAATTACCCCAATTTTTCATTACGTAGACTAGACTTATAATTATAATAAAACGCAATATTCACACATGTAATGCATGTTCATTTCAACTAAAAATATTAAAATTAATATTAATTGGTTGTCCAATAATAATTAATATGACTACTATTATGACCGGTTAATATAGTTAGACAATCACAACCACAATCATGATGATATGTGACTGATGTTAGTGAATTCATTTTCAGTCATCAGATGAGTAGCCTAAAGCGGCACTGAACTAAAGCCTAAGACTAAGTCAACAAGTGATATTTTCAGCGTCTTCTTTTTTTTGTTTGTATTTATTTTACTTAAATTGACAAATCACAACCAGGGTCAACCACACTGTGTCAGTCACTGTGACCACAATCATGTCCTGTCTTATCATTTGACATCGTGATTTTGATGTGTAATATGTCAATAATTAGGTCTATTAAAAAGTTTTATATCCATTTACGTTAAATGCCGGATTTAATTTTAGACAAATTGAATCTGGGAACATGGTTATGAGAATGAGAGCTCTTCTCGACTAAAATTTTAACAATAAATGATAGTGCTCTCCCTTGAGTCAAACAAAACTAAATCTTAAAACATGGCGACGTCCTTAGTAAAGTTCGTTTCTAGTAAGGAACATTTTTGTTGTTGTAGAAAAACAGTGCTGCGAAATGATTAAGAATACTGCCCTGAAATATTTACTAAGATCACCCTTTGCCCCCGGTCAACCATTTTAGTTCAATTCCACTTCACGTGGTAGCCCTAATTCCATCAGTTAGCAGTGTCATTCTTATTCTTCATTTTAGTATTTAAAATTAGAGTTGAGTTACAGTTACAGAGTACTTAGACAAATTCCCAATACTGACAATTCATGATCATGGGCGCCCGCAGGTAGTGGCAAGGTGGGGCACTTGCCCCCCCCCCTGGATTGATTGGATACAAATTTTTTAGACAAAAATAGACAAAAAATGTATTAAAGTAAAGTAAGGAGTAAATAAAGAGAAAGTAACTAAGCCGCCAAGCCGAAGCCTAAGCTGATGTCCTGTCCGTTCGTTCACCATACAAATACGCTACAGTAAATTAAAACTATATTAAAACATTAATAAAATTTGTTTNAAAAAATTTTTTTCCCCCCCCCCCCCCGGAAAGTTTATCCGATTTTTTTTCCCCCCCCCCCCCACCTAGAAAGTTTTCTGCGGGCGCCCACGCTCACGATGAACACTGTCAATTTCACTACAATAATGCAATTCTAATGCTCCGTGGTGTCCTGTAACTAGATCAGAGGCTATTTTTCGGATCTCGCATACCTATACTGATTCTCTAGTGATCGTGTTAAAACATAAATTGACATTCATAAAATTTAAATAATTATTTTAAATTATTATTGTATTGTATAGTAAAATAGTATAAAAAATAAAGTTAAAAAAGTCTGTAATTTAATGTTATTAAACATATTAAGTGCAATTTTTTCAATAGTTAATTAAATGTTCTGACAACTTGTAATGTGACTTCAGGACATCACATTGCGATTGTCACAAAAAATGTGACCCCCCTGGGCAAAAAAAAAAATTCACTTTCGGTCGGTCTCTGCTGTGAAGTCCCAATTTAAATATTTTTTTTATTTACTAATTTTAATGACACACAATTTGTGTAAATAAAAAAATGTAGGTTACAGTAAAGCTTTAATAATGAGAAAACAGAATACAAATGCAAACATTTTATCATAATAAGCCATTTTTAAGCTATATTGGTTAGTATCCGTGCCTTAGTTTCATACATCAAAACATCACTTCTGATCTTATAGTTAGTGATATGGTTTTCTTTGTTTTCATTGAGAGATTTCTTGTAACTTTTGTACCTGAAATATCAGCAAGTGTCTGCTATAATCATTTACTTCACATCCTTTTTCATTAAGCTCATTTATGGTGGCTTCTAGTTATTTGAATTTATCCAATCTCTCAAAAGTTTTGTTTTTTATTTTAATATTATCATTTGTATTTTTGTTACTTGGTCTTTGCTTTATTCACCTTTAATCAGCCTTAACAGAGTACTCTTCAAGTTCATTAAACATTTTTACAATGTCGTCAGGGCTAGCTCAAGACGGGTACAATGCGTGATCATCACACAATAAACCACAGAAAGTGGCAAAATTTGTTAAAATCATAATTTTCCAGAGGGCGACAATGGCCAATTTTCACCCAACCTAAAAATGTCTAGTGCCTGCCCTGAATGTTGTTCCTACTTCTTCCAAGTAGAATTATTTGGTCTTCATATGCCAGGCACAACAATGTTTGGCTGTATAATGCTCTTAATACAGGTTGTGGTTATGTAACTGGAAAAGTTTTTTCTGGAAAATGTGTTATTCTTCCATTGGTGTTCACATGTATGTTTGGCATAACTATTCTAATAGAGGCCGACCGAATTTCGGCTTCGGTTTCGGCGCCGAAAGTGGCCATTTTATCACTTTCGGCCAATTTTCGGTTTCGGCCGAAACTGGAAAGTTAACTTTCGGCTTAATTTCGGTTTCGGCCGAAAGAGAAAAGTTAACTTTCGGTTTTTCTTCGGTTTCGGACGAAATTGACTTAGACTTTCGGCCATCCGGCCGAAAGTGACTCAGATTTTCGGTCATTTAATACTAAGCAAAAGCGATATTTAACAACAAACTAAGCTACATTTAAGAACAAATTAAGCAATCTTTGAGAACAAACTAAATGATATTTAACAACAAACTAAGCCACATTTAAAAACAAACCAAACGATCTTTAAAACAAACTAAGCGATCTTTAAGATCAATCTAAGCGATCTTTAATAACAAACTAAACGGTCTTTAACAACAAACTAAACGGTCTTTAACAACAAACTAAACGGTCTTTAACAACAAACTAAACGGTCTTTAACAACAAACTAAGTGATCTTTAAGAACAAATTAAGCGATCTTTAAGATGAAACTAAGCGATATTTTAGAACAATCTAAGCGATATTTTAGAACAATCTAAGCGATCTTTATGAACAAACTCACCGATCTTTAAGAACAAACTAACCGATCAATAACAACCAACTAAACGATCTTTAAAAACAAATTAAGTGATCTTTTAGAACCATATTTTTTAGAGACCCGGTTTAAAAAAATAATATTTTGCATTAATTTCCCCTCCTCCCCCCCCCCCCCAATTTTTGCCAAATTTTCTCCTACCATACAAATTTGAAAAAATTGTAAAGCAATTTAAATTACTTTTATATTAAAATGGTAAAATCCAAAGTATTCATTAGATCAAGGGTATCAAACTCAAATTATGGGGGAGGGGGGGTGGTTGGGGGCGCAGGAGGTAGTGTCTGAATAAGAGTGGGCCGCATCAAATAATCCACAAAAAAGCGATTACAACTGTTACAATCTGGTCAACCTTTATAAATAACAATGAAATAATTAAGGGATCTCAAGAACTACTCACTGTTGCCAGAGACCTGGCATACAAAAATATATAGAGTCATTAAAAAAAAAAATCAGAATTAGATTAGTCGGTGAGATCGACTGAAACCGTCGTGGAGAGTCACGTTATATATATGAGAATGGGGGAAACGGGCCGGCGCATTTACACTAAACTTTTCTGTCATGTAGTGGGCCGCAAAATATCGTCTTGCGGGTCAAAATGGCTCGCTGGTCGCGCGTTTGAGACCCCTAAATTAGATGTTTATTTATTAATATTTACGATTATCTCATTTTTATAAAAAGAATGTAAATATTTATACTTTCCCACATCATTTTTGATGTAAGCAGAATGTATGCGGGAACGAATTTCAAAATATCTTAATATTTCATTTTGGGTTTCTGCTTCGGTTTCGGCCAAAATTCATTTTTAACTTTCGGATTTTTTTCGGTTTCGGCCGAAATACATTTTAAACTTTCGGCCTATTTTCGGCTTCGGCCGAAATCAGAAAATCACTTTCGGTCGGCCTCTATATTCTAATGTGTTTATTTGTATTTGTCAAAGAGAAATCTATTATTACAGATATGATCTGTAGTCATTTCTCAAGGAGACATCTAATACTACAGAAATTATCTGTAGTCATATCCCAGGGAGACATCTAGTACTAACATTTAATCAGTGATATCAATATCAATACAAAAGGGGAAGATAAGTGGTGGACGCTACAGCTCTAGTTGAAGCAAAATTAGGTCAGAACACAGGCTATAAAAATGTCGTTGGCGGTTTTTATTTTGTCTAGATCTATTTGGATTGTAATTTTTTTTCATATGCCTCAAATATTTTTAGGTCTTTGGTTAACTTGTGGGTACCATACTGTTTTAGTTTTTATATTGTTTATTGTGCATGGTACATATTTTTTCTCAAAAAGGGAGAAAACAAGCTTATAAAACGCTCACAAGTTATCACTGGTTTATAATTTAACAGGCTTACATTAATAATTAATTGTGAGAATAAACTACATTATTACAAAGAAAAATCATAGTTTTAAATCTAGAATTCTTGGAACTCTCTGGTAAGCTATTAAACTACACTTTTGCCCATTTATCTTGATCTGGGACGTAGCTATCTGTCCTTTATATGAAGTTCCTATTTAATGTATTTGAATTTTTATTTATTTGTGTTTTGAAGACCTGTTGTGCTTTCCATTTGGGCCGTTGTCAGTCATAAAGCCTAGTCTTGAGTTCTGTTTGTTCATTAAACATGATTTTGGTGCTTTGACCAAGGATGTCATGCCTCATTCTATTGCAGGTATCACCCTTCCTGTATAGCTTCTTTTTTTAAAAGTATGCCCCCCCCACCCCTTGAACCTGCTACCTTATTTCTTTGCTGTGGGGTATGACTATTTGTATTCTCCCATTAACTGACATTTAAGCTTATTTGTAAATAATTTGGTACTAAGTCTTCTATGTTGTTGTTTGAGAGTGTGAAATCTGATTGTTTTGAGCATTTTCTTTTGGGACCAATCTTCCACCATATGCAGGGCTTCTTGTTTGCACTTTACTACTATTTTTATATATTCTTTCAGCATCACAGGGATTCATGTCAGTGCTTGCCAGTAAGGCATCAACATTTGAATTCTTTTTCTTATTTTTACTATGAAAAACTTAATGAATCTATTACTACAATTTTTTTTATTTACAGGCTTCTGTATTCAAGTTCAGAAAGTATTTCAACCACTTTCCCTTTTGCCTGCAAACTCTGCCAAACTGACAACTCAAACGAACACCAAATGTCTACATTCTTTAACTTTTTCTTCCCCAAAGAATGAATTAATAAGGTAATTGTTCTATTATTTTCCATACAATTGTGTTTCATTTAGAATGTTTAGGTTTTCATAATTCATTCTACAACATAACATTAACGGTAATTACTTATGTTAAAACTTTGCACTCTGATTAAAAGTGTGATCTTTATACAGGATGTATGATACACATACACCAGGCCACTACTTTTTTTGAACTACAGTGGAACCTCTCATAACGAGCACCTCTCATAACGAGTAATTCGCATAACGAGCAAAAAAAATGTGAAGAAGTTGCTCCCTTAACAAGCGACATTTCGCATGAGTTACACAGAAAGGTGAAGTCCCTTTTTCCCGACATTCATTTGTGTGCCGGGACTTGGGAAGGAGTTACCAAGAGGACCCTCACTTCTACTTGGAAAAAACTTTGGCCAGAGAGTGATGTTGAATGTGATTTTGAAACAGTACTTTTGGAGTCTACAGTTAACGAGATTGTGGCATTGGCCAATATCATGGGACTCGAGGTGGACAACAAAGATATTGAAGAGCTTGTGAAAGAGCACAGTCAAGAGTCGACCACGGAAGAGCTTATGGAGTTGCATCGTGTTTCACAGCAAGAAATTATGGAGGAGATTTCATTAATGGAGGAGGAAGTAGCAGAGCAACAATCTTCTAGCGCAATAAGAGAAATGCTGAAAGCATGGGAAACTGTTACATCGTACATTGAGAAGTATCACCCTAATAAGGAGGTGGCTATTCATGCTACAAATTTATTCAATGATAATGCTGTGACACATTTTTGTCAAATTTTGAAGCGTCGGCAAAAACAAATGTCTTTAGACAGTTTTCTAGTTAAAAAGGATTAATTATTTGTCATAAATTCATACTTTTATTTACGTTTTTTGTTTCAAATCTAAGTTGTATTCCAAGTTGTTACATTCCTTAACAATTCATAAGTAATTTTATTTGAATAAATGTTAATACAAATTTTTGAAAAATGAGTATTTTTTCAGCATGGAATGCATTATCGTATTTCACATTGATTTGTATGGGAAAAATTGTTTCGTTTAACTAGTGTTCGCTTAACGAGTAAGATTCTGGAACGAATTATGCTCGTTATGAGAAGTTCCACTGTATTTTAAGTTATATGTGTTTTTTTCAATCCTTTCAGTAATGTGCCTAGCGGAACATTTGTCCACTTGTAATGCATGCATTTTTGTTAACCTACCAATTCATATGTCTTTCAAAAAATATAAATTATATATTTATTCTGATGCAGCACCAGAAATTACTTAAATAATACCTCAGCAAAACAAATGTTTGAATCCATAACAAAGAGAAAATTAAAGAATTTGTTTGGAAATTGATGCAACTAAACATTGTTTAAATTAATTTTTTTAAAATCGAAATCAAATCTAACAACTAGTTTAACTAAATTTCCCCAGTCAGAGCATAGTACACTAATAATACAGTAATATTTATATTAGTAAATAAAATTTTGTGACAAATCTTTCAGGCTGATAATATGAAATCCATGTACCTCAAATTACACATTTACTTCTTTTACTTTATTTTAGCCCAAGTTATATTAGCAAGAGAGCTTTTCATACAACACCAGTTTGTCCCACTACTTATGAGCTCAAGCTGTGGAGAGAACATAGAATCATCAATCGCTTCTATCGTCTTCACTGGGGTGCATGGATTCGGTGCTTTGGAGGAAGACACAAAAGACTTTATCTAAAATCTCCAGCGCTACAATGGAAACTTAAGCAGCATGTTTTTGTCAATGCAAAACAATGCAAATTATTAGACATTTTGGTCACACCAAAGTGGAGGGAACCAAAATATTTTGCTGATTCTCCGTATGAACCATATCATACTAGAACTAACTGTAAAGCTTTCCCCAATCATAGGAAGTTTTATCCATGATTGATTGTTACTTTGACATATATAATTCCATCTCTTATCGTTATCTTTTTTTTTTCAATTGCGTTGTCTCTTTAAGAATATTCAACATTGTTTAAATTTAAAGCAATCTGTTTTGATGATCATATGCCTTATCTGCACCTTGTACACCCCCACCCCAAATTTACATATTGGGATTTAGAATAAAGTTTTTGTTTGTGCACACCATTAAATGTAGGTTGAATTTTAAAAAAAATAAAAAAAATTAAACCAGATAAGGCAACAAGGTTTTAAGATGTGTTCATGTATTCTGATAACATGTGCGATGGGATGCAACGATAATTTAATGCAATCATTTTTATATGGCAGTGTGTACTGTAAGTTCATTTGGCATTCTTTTCTTTTGTAATTCTTTTCATAGTAAAAGTCAAATATCTCCCAGTTAATTTGGTAGGAAAGCTATAGTATTAGTATCATATCAAATCATAGTATTGGAAAAATGAATACCATACGTTTGAATTACTGTAATGAGATTCTAGTTATTGGTGACTTAAAAAACAGATCCTGTTCACACAAAAATCAGTCAGAGAAGTTTAATCCAAAATTACATTTTTTACCAAAATTTTGAAAAAATTGTCTTTTTCTTCTTTTGTTTCTGGACTATTTATTTGTTTAAAAGCCAAAATTAATGAAGTAATTAAATGCACCTTAAGAATTTTTCATCTGTCCTTATATCTTTGCCCTATTTAGTACTTAAGAATAATTACCATAACTATTAAATATTATTTATATTAGGGTCAATCCAAATTGTCTGTGACTTCTATAAAACGATCACTCCAAATTGTTCATTCTCTTTTGGGGTCCGGCCTAAGCTCTTATGACCCCAGCCAATAAGTCACAGCTGAGTTGAATCTGTTAGGCTTCACCATATATCGATTAACGCAGGTTTATGGTGGTCCCAACCCCCAGTGTGGGGCACTTAGCTAGTAAGTGCGCCACATTTTCAGGTGCCTGGCCACAGAGGTGACAGCTCAGGTCCCTAAGAGCAGTGGTCCCCAAATGGCGGTCCGTGGACCTTCACCGGTCCGCATGCCTAACGCTGCCGGTCTCCATAACATAAATATTTATTGTCAAATAGAAATAAAAGTATAAAAATAAATCATGCACCTGTCCCTGGTAAAACTTCTAAACTTGTTCACCGGTCCGCCAAACTTAAAAGTTTGGGAACTACTGCCTAAGAGTATTTAGCCTATGTAAGTAGCTCCCGTCTGGAAATGTTCTATTCTAACCTGAGTAACAAGGCTCTGGAGACTGCTGGACTTTCCACCATGGGTCGCTTTTGTTTTGTCCCAGCATATTTTGGTCAAGATCTCTTACTGTATCAACTGTCACTTAACCATTGAGTTAAAGTGGGCTCTTCTTAGCCTAGCCTTGACCCACCCCCACCCCACCCCAGTATTGGGTCACTGGCTGGTGCGCTTGGGGCTGGACTGAACCATTTCTGGCTTGGGCATCTATTTGCGCATTCTGAGCCACCCCATAGTGACAAGGGACCCATTGTAGGATGACCATGAAGCTGCATGCTTGGATGCCGTACTCTATTTTCAGAAAGACGCAGACCACTGTTGAGTCTAACCAACACTTAACTGCAGTTTCAAGAGCAAACTGTGAGTCTGTAAGGACGACAATGGTCGTGAAATGAGTCCTTCAAACTTAACGGCAACGCATCTGTTTCAGGCCAACCAAAATGACTCCAATCTCTGCATCTCTTCATTTTTTCAATGGACCTTGAGATCTCCACAGTTGGTGGTCGCCCTCCTGTGTATTGTATTAGTGCACCGTGGCCAGCTGTATTTTCTCTAGCAAAGCACTAGCCGTCTATGAAGACTTTTACCAGAGTCTGCAAAGACTTTGATCTTTCTTTAAAGACCGCCTCTTGCGTTCATCACTGCCGGATCGGTACCGGTATTTATCGGTGTCGTACCGGTAGTTGTCGGTGTCAAACCTATTTCAGGAGGGAGTAGCTTGCATGCAGTCCCAGGTCCTGGAGCAGACGAAAGTTTCTCCCTACCCGGTATTCCTGAGTTCGGGTCGGTAGGCTCTTCTCTGGCTAATTGACTGCATCCGTAAAGGATGGTCGTTTATGTAAGCTGCTGTGGCAAATGTCTCCTGATATTGAGCAGTCCGACCAGATAAGGCAAAATACTCCGTACACAAAACGGAGGGTCCGCTCTCACCCCAACCACACACTAACATCACTGGGACGGTTACCGGAAATTTGTTTAAAAGAAATTTACCTATCTATATAGTAAAACAAAATAATGCGTTCAAAAAAGAAATTTGACGCAAAATTTTAACGAGTGAACGAGTCAAATTTCCGTCGATCAATTTTCCGTCGACGAAATTTCTTTCAAACAAATTCGTAGCCTACATTTTACGAAAGCGTTACTCCACTTCTCGGCAGGTCTTGAGGGCCACATTAAACGTTTCAGCGGGCCGCAGTATTGCCCACCTCTGTTTAAAAACGTTCTCTCTACTATACTCGCATTTCCCATCATGAAGAGTAATTGTTGCTCAAATTATGGTTGACCGCGTCTGCTTCGGGTGAACGGGTGGGTGAGCTCAGATTTATTTGTCACATGTATTTGTATGCCTAGGTTAAGAGTTAATTCACTTCAATAGGGATTTAGTAAGCATTCGATGTTTTTTTTTTTTTTTTTTTAAATTTCTTTTGTCGATACCGGTAGGCCTACCAGTAATTTAAATTTAAAGATTACAGATTACAATTTCAACATAAAAGAAGTTAAGAGTTAATTCACTTCAATAGGGATTTAGTAAGCATTCGATGTTTTTTTTTTTTTTTTTTTTAAATTTCTTTTGTCGATACCGGTAGGCCTACCAGTAATTTAAATTTAAAGATTACAGATTACAATTTCAACATAAAAATTAGGGAAAAAATATTTTTAAAATTTTCTTTATAATATCAAAGGCGCGTTAAAAAGGTGAAAACTAACTATAAATTATAATGTATTAATATGCATTACTCAAAGAAAGTCTGTGTACAAAATTAATAAAAAAATAAAACGTATTTAAGTTCAAATCGAAACCTTCGGCTTCATTGTACTTCAAAGTGCTCATTTACATTTCTGCATAGTCTTTCTTTATGTAATGCATTTTAATTTTAAGAAATTTAAAATTATGTTCTACTTTTTAATTTTTAGTGCGTTTTAACTTCTTTGAAAGTTTAAAAAAAAAAAAAAATATTATTATTTAAAAAAAAATTAAAGACTTCCTTTCTACTTACACAGTTAAATCAATTTACCCGGGATTTTGAAAGTATTCTTTGTTAAATTTTTGAATTATTTTATGGATCATTTGCAGCTAAAAAATTGCATGCTAAAAAGTAGAAAGAAATAAAAAATTTAATATTCTCATTTCAGCACACACATCTTCTATATAATTATAAAGTTTGGTGCTAAAAATTAATAAAAGAACACCCATGAATGTAACCCATAGGTACCATAAGAAGCCCTTTATGCAAGCCCCTTAACTATGTGATAATTTTAATGGACATTAGAACCCGGTTATGTCGACGGCCTCGGGGTTTGCCAAAAAGCGTCGAGTTAACAGAAAACCAGTATGGCGGCGATATATTAACATGTGCTTGAATTTTCTTTATGTACATGATGTGCGTTAATAAATGCATGCACATAATGTGCCTTAATAAATGCAGGTACTTCAGTAAAAAATATATATATTAAAAAAAATATTACAGTTATTTAGAGCGAATTTCAAAATTTGTAAAAATGAAACCAGAATTAATTTATTAACTTTTTAACTTGAGTACTTTTTGAGCTCCGAATTTTTAAAGTGCGAGATCGTTTGGTTTTTTCTAACATGGACGAAGCCTCCACAATTTGTGACCTCATTCTGCTGATCGTTGGCAGAAGGGACAAGACATATTGGACGACCACGCCTGAGATTTACTAATCGACATAAAAAAAAAATCGACATAATCGAGGAGAAAATGCTACGGCAAAGAGAGAATTTGGCGGTTCCACTTCAAAAAAACGTCGACATTACAGGGTTGGCAAGTTTAATCGAGGTCGAGATAAGCGTGTTCGACTGTACTCTCTTTTTTAAAGCACATAGCATAAGAATAAAGCTTGATTTAAAATTTCTGTTTCAAATAGATGCTTGAAAGCGAACAGTTCTGATACTAAAGGCTTATTAACATTGCGTACGCTAAAAATAACTTAACCTTCCTAGAAGGCTTCCTGGCAGATGCCATTGAACATTATCAATATTTGTTTATTTGGTAGTACTCTGTACCATGGGCGCCCGCAGAAAACTTTCTAGGGGGGGGGGCTAAAAAATCGATTAACTTTCCAGGGGGGGGGGCAAAATTTGTTTAGTAATGTTTTAATGTAGTTTTGATTTACTGTAGCGTATTTGTATGGTGAACGAACGGACAGGACATCAGCTTAATTACTTTCTCTTTATTTTTCTTTATTTTAATACTTTTTTTGTCTATTTTTGTCTAAAAATTTTTTATCCAATCAATCCAGAAGGGGGGGGGGGGCAAGTGCCCCACCTTGCCCCTACCTGCGGGCGCCCATGCTCTGTACCCTTTTTAATTGAAGATTTGTCAAATCATAATAACGGACAGGACATCAGCTTAATTACTTTCTCTTTATTTTTCTTTATTTTAATACTTTTTTTGTCTATTTTTGTCTAAAAATTTTTTATCCAATCAATCCAGAAGGGGGGGGGGGCAAGTGCCCCACCTTGCCCCTACCTGCGGGCGCCCATGCTCTGTACCCTTTTTAATTGAAGATTTGTCAAATCATAATCTTTGAGATTCATCAATTATGATGAACTTTTCAGGAACCATCTATTGATTAACCATCTATTAATGCTAAAAATAAGTGTTTATCAGACATGCGTGCTTAGCACGCTCCTATATTCTAGCGAAGTGTGGACCACACCACAGAGCTATAAATATCTCTATGTCTATGGGACCACACACACCAGTCAGGAGCGGAAACTTAACAGCTTCCATCAAAGATGTCTGCGTCGCATTTTACGCATTGGTTGGCAGGACAGGGTGCATAACGTGGAGGTTTTGGAACGTGCACTAGAGACCGACCGAATTTCGGTTTCGGCTTCGGTTTCGGCGCCGAAAGTGGCCATTTTATCACTTTCGGCCAAGTTTCGGTTTCGGCCGAAACTGAAAAGTTAACTTTCGGCTTAATTTCGGTTTCGGCCGAAAGAGAATAGTTAACTTTCGGTTTTTCTTCGGTTTCGGTCGAAATTGACTTAGACATTCGGCCATCCGGCCGAAAGTGACTCAGGTTTTCGGCCATTTAATACTCAGCGAAAGCGATATTTAACAACAAACTAAGCAACATTTAAGAACAAATTAAGCGATCTTTGAGAACAAACTAAACGATATTTAACAACAAACTAAGGGACATTTAAGAAAAAACTAAACGATCTTTAAAACAAACAAAGGGATCTTTAAGAACAATCTAACCGATCTTTAATAACAAACTAAACGATCTTATAGAAAAAACTAAACGATTTTAAGACCGAACTAAATGATCTTTAAGAACAAAACAAATGAACTTTAATAGTTAACTAAATGATTTATAAGAATAAACTAAGCGATCTTTAACAGGAAACTAAGTGTCTTTAGGAACAAACTAAAAGATCTTTAAGAAGAAACTAATCGATCTTAAGGAACAAAATTGATTATCTTTAAGAACAAACTAAGGGATCATTATGAAAAACTCAGCGATCTTTACAACAAACTAAGCGATCTTTAACAACAAACTAAACGATTTTTAACAATAAACTAAACGATCTTTAACAACAAACTAAACGATCTTGAACAACAAACTAAATGATCTTTATGAACAAGCTCACCAATCTTTTAGAAGAAACTAACCGATCAATACCAAACAACTAAACGATCTTTAAAAACAAATTAAGCGATCTTTTAGAACCAAATTTTTTTAGAGACCCTGTTTAAAAAAATTATATTTTGCATCAATTTCCCCTCCTCCCCCCCCCCTCACAATTTTTGCCAAAGTTTCTCCTACCACACTAATTTTAAAAAAAAAATTTAAAGCAATTTAAATTACTTTTATATGAAAATGGTAAATCCAAAGTATTCATTAGATCAAGGGTCTCAAGCTCAAATCATGGGGGGAGGGGGAGGCACAGGAGGTAGTATCTGAATGAGAGTGGGCCCCATCAAGTAATCCACAAAAAAGCGATTGCAACTGTTACAATCTGCTCAACCTTTATAACTAAAAATAAAATCATTAAGGGTTCTCAAGAACTACTCACTGTTGCCAGAGACATGGCATACAAAAATATATAGAAACATAAAAAAAAAAAACAACAGAATTAGACTAGTCGGTGAGATTCGACTGAAACCGTCGCGGAGACTCACGTTATAGATGAGAATGGGGGAAACGGGCCGGCGCATTTACACTAAACTTTTCTGTCATGTAACGGGCCGCAAAATATCGTCTTGCGGGTCACAAATGGCTCGCGGGCCGCGAGTTTGAGACCCCTATGGTATATGTTTATTTATTAATATTCACGATTATCTCATTTTTTATAAAAAGAATGTAAATATTTATACTTTCCCACATCATTTTCGATGTATGCAGAATGTATGCGGGAACGAATTTCAAAATATCTTAATATTTCATTTTCGGTTTCGGCTTCGGTTTCGGCCGAAATTCATTTTTAACTTTCGGCCTTTTTTGGTTTCGGCCGAAAGTCATTTTTAAACTTTCGGCAATTTTTCGGTTTCGGCTGAAAGTCATTTTATACTTTCGGCCTATTTTCGGCTTCGGCCGAAATCAGAAAATCACTTTCGGTCGGTCTCTAACGTGCACACATGCTTAGCATATTCTCCTTTGTTATCAAAAGGCGCCTTCGCTGGTTAGGTCATGTACGGAGAATGGAGGACGGACGTATCTCAAAGATACTGCTGTATGGAGAGTTGGCAGAAGGGACAAGACATATTGTACGACCACGCCTGAGATTTACTGACGTTTGCAAACGAAGTATGGGGGAAGCCAATATTGAAACAATCGAATGGGAGTTCATTGCCGAACATCGCTCCAACTGGCGAACAGCAGTGTTTGAAGGAGTAAAAAAGGCAGAAGATACTCGCAACGTGGCCCTTGAATCAATCGAAACAATTTGGAAATCAAGATCTTACCGGGATTCAATATTCTCCTGCGAGAGATGCGGTGGTGATTGGCATCCTAGGATTGGCCTAGTGAGCCACTCGCCAAAATGTAGAACTATATAGTTACTCCATCATCTCACGAAGACGGAAGGATGCCATATATAATATATTAATTATATTAATACTAATACTAGTAAATAAGTGGAAGGAAAAAAAAATTTAGCAGAGCGTGGTTTCGATCCACGGACCTCTGGGTTATGGGCCCAGCACGCTTCCACTGCGCCACTCTGCTCTTGAATGCAAAAGAAAATTAAAATGATTTATAATTTACTTTAATTTTATTGAAAGTACTTATTAATTATTTTCATAAATATATAATTTTAAATCATCTTTCATTCTTAATTGTGCTTTTGTTACTTTTCAAATTTTTCCAATAAATAATATAAGATAATTATGGCCCCTTTGGCCGGAACAAAAACAGAGTATTTATAATTTATTAATTTGTAAAAAGAAAACTTTGAATTTAATATTAATTAAATATTTTGAAAAGCATTAACATATAGTTCGTCTTAACAAACAAAAATATTTAAAAACATTTATCATTTTGCAAAATTTTTGGGTGATATTTTATGTGTACAAAATATATAATTATGTATTTAACGAATTTTGTTCTCTGTGTAAAATCCGTATTTTTTTGCCCAGTAACAAGTATAAACAGGAGCTTTAAAAATCCAATAAATCAAATAAATATTAAGTGTAAGGATTAAGCCTACAATTTTCAGTATAAAATAACCGGTACACGTTGATCAGTCCCATTGTACCTTTTTATAAATTGCTACCTACATTTGATGTGATAAAGGTCGTGTTATAATGAGGTAAATAAAGAATGGTTAATTAAATCACAATCACATACTGATCTCAATCATTGTAATTTATTAATTGTAATTTGTAATAATCATTGTTGACAACTGAAACTCAGTTAATTTATTACTACACTTACACGCTAAATTTTATATTATATTATTATAATTATATGCTCAACATTTTTGAATTAAAATTATTGTGATACTACATGAGTATGAGGATGACATATGATAATGATATCATTATTATCATTCATTGTGACTTGTGATTGAGTTCATTGATAATTGATTTACTAAGACTAAGCCTACTGGAATATTGCAGTAATTTTGAGATAAGCCTAAACTGACAAACTCTTTAACTTCAGACTTTTGGTTTTTAGAATTAAGACAGTGTTACCGTTGAACAAATAATTTGCAGTTTTAAAAAATTTATTAGTGAGAATTTTGTTTAAGGTGGGACCTAACTATGATAGAATGTGTTGTCAACGCTAATTTCTTTAACTGTAGACTGTTGTAGTAGATGAAAAGTGCCCAATACTTTTTAATTTTATGAAGTAGGTCTAAGCATAAACGGATCAGTATGTCCGTTGAAGATTATGATTTAGATGCAACTGTGTGTCTGCAGCTACATGATTGTTTTTCAAAACGACTTTTTCTTTCTTGATCTTAAAAGTACTTAAAAGCTCCCGCAGCTATTATTTAGCTTTATAAATAAAATTTGTAGAATAAAAAAGAATGCATACGTAGGTGTATTTGATTATGCTATGATCAATGATAGTAATTATAAAATATAATAAACATCTTGTATCCCACGCCCACATTACATAACAACCATGAAACCAAATAATATTGATTTTTGTTATCACTACTATTCTCTAGTATTGTGTATCTGTGAATCTGATGAGGTTTATATTGTAAACTGCCAAAGTAGACCTACAAGAGTAGGCTATCCTCTAGAGTAGTGCCCTAAACCATAAAATATTAATAATTTACCCTTTTAGTATTTTCCTTTGCACAATGCTTCTATATTATTCTATACATTACATGCAAATTAAAAGAAGTAAGAGGAAAATTGTAATGAACAGCAAAATTCCATGACTCCATTAGAACTGACTGTAGTGACAGAGGCATTTTATTTGGTGTGCTGATAATTCTTTGCTGGCACATGCTAAATATTGACTGTCCTCCATAACTTACTCATTAGTGATTTCACCTCTTAACTTAAGAGAAATTACAGTCAGCAGCGGAGTCAAGCAAACATTTGTGGTTCTAGTGTTTGTCACAAATGACTCGGGTGGGGATATAGGAAAGAGCTCAGTTGTAATCAGTGCATAATGGTTTTGTTTTGTTCGGGACTTCCCTATGGGTCGCACCACGTTTGATAGATCATGAATGAGGGTTTGGGGCACTTCTGGTAAGGGGAAGAGGATAAGATGGTTGTTGTGAAAAGGTTATTCATTCGTGGATTGTCATTCTGAAGTGATAGAATTAGTTTTCATAGCTGTTAATCAAGAATAGTCCTTGGAGATAGGCAAGTAGTTAGCTGTCAACAATTTTCAGATTGTTCCATTTGTATATGGCAGACTCAAAGAATTTTATAATTGATCGCTGTAGATGTTTTGATTGGGCACACCCTGAAATTTTAATTCAAGGTCATTTTCCATAACATCAGGAAATAAACATATTATATCATCTGGACACTTAGAGTTGAGTTGTTTGGATTTCACTAAAGTTTACGTTGTGCTTCTGTCTGTCCCAATGCCTAGACACCCAAAATATAATCACAGAGAGGAGCAGTCCTGTACTAACGACAACTAAATTAATATAGTTTGTTATAAGTCAGGACCGGAGCCCTCCTCCGCAACAACTGTTCTGTGACAGTGTTTAATGCTTGCCCTCAATATGTTAAAAAAAAACTTTAAAAATATATTTCACATCATTTATTAAACCATAAACATTTCTGAGACTGTATAAAATGCATAAGCTTGAAATACAGGAATAGTTACAGAATTGCAGATAAATTCTTGATTCCTATTTCAGAAATAAGTAACATGGATGTGATTGATGCTGTCCCAAGACCACGACGAGAACGGCCAAAAGATTCATTTCAAAGTGAGTTGAAGGCTAAATTACGCCAGAGAAAGTCAGTAGGTTTAGCTGCAGATGTCACAGACAGTGATGATGATGGTTTCAATACAAACTATGGTGAGACACTATAAAGCTATAATCAAGTTCAGTCTAAATCATTCATCTAACATCTATTGTGCAACTGCTGTAAAAAATATATCAGTTGATTCCATGCTTTAAATTTTCATTTGAAATCTAATTGAAGTAGCATATTTAAAATATAATTTTTCTTTTTTTGTTTTGTTAAGACTATCAATCAAATAAGGCAAGGCCAGGATCTGCTAAAAGAAGAGCTGATCACTCCCCTGATCTTGGATATGGCTTAGGCACTACAACTATGCGTTCAAAAGATCTCAAAAAATTAATTGCAACTAATAACTATGAGGATGAAGATGATGATGATGAAGAGGTTATGGCTGCAACTTCTGGCAAGATTTTTGGTGGATCATGGCAACCCAGTGGAGTGAAATCACCATCCCCTAGACAAGAATCAAAGTTTTTACGTAAAAACACAAAAGATCAAAGCAGCACATTAGACTCTTTATTTGGCCGCAAAACACCCACTTATGACTCTCTTTCAAAAGAAGAGATAATATTTGGTAGGAAAACTCCAATTGAAGGGAAAAAAAGTCCCAGTAGTGGGTAAGTGTCTTTCAACTTTGAAAATCTGTTATGTTATGTTATTACAGAAGCTTTCTTCTAACTGTTCTTCTATGTAAATTGAATTTCATATTGTATTGCAATAAAAATTTATCATTTTTGGATAAACAGCTATTCTTTTAATAATTATATATTCACTTAAACCATACATGCCAACCTGGGCTAGTTACAATTAATAATTTTATTAGGTTGATAATAAATTACAAAATCAAAAATAAAATAAAATTAAAGCTATTGACTTACAATAAAATGATTGGCTTGTACCGGTACAATTTTGAAGAAGAAACAATGTTGTAAAAGGTACTATGATGAAAAAGAATCTACACACAAAGCAAATTTTAGTAAACAAATCTTCGTCTGGTATAGCAAATCTCTATCGTAATAGTGATAGCAAAAATATCTCCATTTTCCGTCCTGTCGCTCAATCTCTCTAGGCGTAAATAAGGCCTGTTTCTGAGATATTTCTAGAACGGGCTTATACATTGTATTCCTTTCTTGATTTGTTATGAGTTTTCTACATTATTCTAATAATAGAGCCCATAACAAGGTCAAGAGAGACTATTTTTAATTAGCCACACCCAAGCAAGCTGTTGAAACTTGGGGTCGGCTAAAGTTCATTCATGTCGTAAGATGACGTTAATGTGTCATCTACATAACAACACAAATGGATTTGTAATTATGGTTTACTACTCAAAGTAGCTACAAATGTACAATGCTGTCTTAGTATTAAAAAATGATATCAATCATACCACGCTGACTTTCTAAATTTAGATGACCTTCTTAACCTCAACTTGGTCATTTTGAAAGGACCAATAGGATTTAAAATTCCTGATGTCTGACTATTAATTTATTGCTCCACCAATTTTGAATGTCTGTCTTGTGCAAAAAATATTTCTTTTCTAAATCCAGTACAAAAGCTGTACAAAAGCCTGTACTGCCATAGAACTTGGCAAGCATAAAAAGACTGTACAAAGTAAGAGTAAATCATACAGGTTGGAATGCATGCTTAAACACTTTTTTTTCCAGATCCAGCATGCCTGGTATGGATAAACAATGGCAGCCCCCAAGCTTCCGTAGTGCCTCACCTGGTATAACTAATGAGCAAAACAAAGGTAACCGAGCGAGAGAACACTTTAGACTTAAGATCAGTGGTTCTCAAACTTTTTCATTTTACTAGGTTTTAACTAGTATGTCTTGAGTATTGTCATAAATTTTAGTTCTGTGCATTTATATTTTAGTATACAATATTATCTTGTATTCTTAACCCACATACTGTCAATTGGAAACTCGCTGTGGTGTCAAATCTTTTTTTTTATAGTAAATTTGATTGTATCACTAAAATATCCCTAATTAATTTAAAATGAATCCAGAGACCCAAAGAAGTATGATATTCTAAGAGTAAATTGGAAAAGGAATCATATGGTATAAATTTTGGAATTCTCTGACTATGTGAAATGAATATGACCTTGACCTTTCAACAGTTTTTATCTTTCTGTAACTCACATTCACACTTTTGGGTCCTTTTTAACATCTAAATACATTTTTCAGACACAGAAAACATTATTCACTCAGTTAAAAAAAAAATAAAGTTAAATGGGTTTATAGAAATTATAAAAAATACAACTCCTTGGTGACCTACACATTTCTTTATAAACTACCATCAAAATCACTTCCTTAAAGAAATTATTCAAATAAATTAGGCTTTTTTTTTAGCAGGGACTAAATCTGAGTCTTGTAAGCTAGTTCTAACCAAAGTCCTCAGAAAATTTCATCTCTATTGAGAATAAAAAAATGACAACATGAAATATTTATCATATTATTCTTTTCACCTGTTTTCCATATGTTTAGAATCTGAAATGCAAAAATGTTTTATTCTGTATAAGTGATTGCTTACTTCCAGTTATAATAGTGTTACTTTAATACACAATCGAATTTGTAAATAAAAAATTGGCTCATAAATCGGATATCAAACATAAAAAATATTTGTTGGAAACCAATGAAAGCTTAACCACTTCATTACCGATGAGGTCGACGTCACGATCACCCACTTTCAATTACCAAGGACGTCATAACAAAAATTTTAGAACTTTTCTGAAACACCAAAGGACGTCACGTCGACGTCATATTTCAATGTTATATATTTCCTTATTCGTTAAGCTATAGAGAAGTTAAAAAGCGAATCGATAGAGAATGAAATATACCCAAAATTTCATCGTTTTAGTTTTTTCTTGCTGAGTCAGCAAAAATCGATGCCCAAAACCCTGCGGTAATGAAGTGGTTAATAATCATTTTATGTTTTTTAATACCAAGTGCTGCTATATGTCACAGAGAAATTACCAGCTATTTTATCTCAAGAAAAAACTACTTCCTGTTTCCATATGTTTAGAATCGGAAATTCAAAACACGCCAATATGCCCCTGTTATATTAACATTACATTTATTTAAGTCTTAAAATTTGGCTTAAGTTGGAATCTCACAAATACATAACCCGGCGCTCTTTAACTAATAAAAAATTAGCACTGGATAAATTTAAAAAATCAGCATTGATATCAAAAACAAGGTATGGGAAAACCCCTTTCATATCAAAAATGAATAGAGACCAATTTTCAACAAGAGGGTGGTGGATCCGGAAACTTGTCAAGTGATTGGAAGTAAATCTATTTTATTTTAGAGTTATCTCCCATTTAAAGAAAATACTAAAACTTCTGATTCAAATTTATAACATTAATGCAAGGCTGATGATCGGTTATGACAGTTCGTGGGTTAGTTAAAGGTTAATAGTTTGATTAAATTATAAAGACAATTTCATGAAATGTAAAAATAAAATGCTAAAAATCTTCTTTGCAGGTTCCCCACGAGTCACACCTACAGATTCATTGCTTGAAAGCATTTCTGAAACACCGCGAGAGAAAATGACACCCCGGCTTCAAAGAGGACAAAAACCCGATACATCTCCTAGGTTAGCATTGTATTTAATATGATACCGTAAACTCATTTATTTGAGAGGTAGAAGACCCACATACATTTGGATGAACTGGTCTGATAGATAGAATAAATTTCAAAAAAGCCTTTTAAGTGTAAATAAAACTCTTGACAGGATTAAAATAAGTATGAAACAATAATTTTTGTTTCTTGTATCTTAAAGCTTATAATATTTCACTATTTGTTGCTTTAAATCAGGCAAACTTCATTTGATGCTAAACCTAAGCCTCAGGCACGTAACAAAGATCTTAGTAGGACATCACCAGCTAACTTAGATGTTGAGAGACTTCTCAACAAAACACCTACGCTTGGCATGGAGAATAACTCTAAGAGAAGTACTCCGACATATGACCTTGAGCGCAACACCAAACGGACCACCCCTACTAAAGATTTGGATCAGAGCAGCAAAAAAACCCCAGGCACAGAGAGCATTCTCAAAAGGACCACCCCAACAATAGAGTTTGAGCACAACAAAAAGAGAACAACTCCAACTTTTGAAGATGAGAGCATGAAGAGAACTACGCCAACTCTAGATCTGTTTGGTAGAACTCGTGCGGCCAGCAAAGAAGAGTTAGATTCCTACATCACTCGTGATAAAGATGTAAAGAAGGATGTTCAAAAGCAACCATCAGGCCGAAGCCCATCCCCTGAGATGAAACCATCTGGACTAAGATCTAAAACTTCAGAGAAGTCTACAAATAAAGTGAGTTTTGAGGGCAAAAAAAGCCCTTCTTTTCTGAAGACAGTAAGTACAGAGAAAAAATTTCCAGAGAAGGTAGAGAAACCACAAAGCCAAAATCCATCATTGTTTGACTTAGTTACAGGGACAGGCACAGTTGCAGAAACTAAGCCCCAGGCAAAAAGTAGAAAATCAAAGGCTGCGGAAGAAGATAGCATGCTAGATGATATTTTCGGTTCTGGAAAAAAAACTGTAGTGCCTGCAGATGGTCGTAAGTCTCCCGGAACACTGGGCAGAAAAACACCAGAGGTCTTGAGGAAATCCTTAAATGATGTCTCAAATACAGTGAACCAACCAATTTACCAGCAACAGAAACCTGATGATACCAGTTCATTGTGTGAAGAACTTCCCCCTGATCCTAATCGCAAAAGTGCTGCGGAACTTTCAAAAGCTGAGTGAGTTATAACGTAGAGACTTTAGTTGATATTTGTGGAGGTCATAATTCTCCTACTTGATGCTTTTGTTCTAATTATGGCAGCATGGTATTGGAGGCTAGAAATCGCATTCATATTTATTTAATATGGTGATTGAGATAAAACAAAGGAATTTTACATGATACTCATAAAGAAGGTTCACTTCTGATTACGTCTTGTCTAGTTTCTAAAGATATTTATTGATTTGAAAATTCTTAAATCTAACTCAGGCCTGCACAACATACAGCCCGCAGGCACCATATGGCCCGCCAGCACCCACTTGGCGGCCCACGAAGTAACGAAATATTCTTTATTTTTTATTATTTTCTTAGTAGCTTCCCCCATCCTATTTTCTTTTTGCCCGCACAGGTTTTTCATAAAGTATTGCGGCCCGACTTACATTTTGAGTTGTGTAGGCCTGATCTAACAGATTGCATGTTTTATTTTCTAACAGGGGAGAGAAGCATAAAACAGAAAGAGCCAGACAAGAATCATTTATTGACACAGTTGCTGGAGCCCAAACTATGGAGTACATTGCACCAGCCAAGAAAATAAGGTACTTGGTCGACTTGTGCCTATAACGCTGGCAAGTGCCATCCCGATTTCTCACATGCAACTGCCTGACTTGCCACATAGCTGTATCATGCTCATTCAAGGTGGCTAGAAATACAACCATCAATATTGTTAAGGTTGAGTTCATCTATAGTTGTATCATGCTTGTTCAGGGTGGCTAGAAATACAACCATCAATATTGTAAAGGTTGAGTTCACCTATAACTGTATCATGCTCATTCAGGGGGACTAGAAATACAACCATCAATATTGCTAAGGTCGAGTTCACCAAATAGCAAACTCCCATGGTAGGTGCGTTTTCTGAAGGGGCAGTTTGATAAGTTCTAATTGTTGTCAAGGTATTAAGACCGCTTTCATTCACACTAGATGATGACAATATGTGGGTGAAAATAACAGAGTTCTATATTTACAGGGTCATCTTTAACATTACACCATTCAAGACCACAAGTAGCACATACTGAAAGCTCCTTGCTAACAGCAAACAAATGGCTGACACTCCAATCTGATTCACGACCACCCGCTAACAACACTCTGGAACATTAACTTTCACATAATTTAACACACTATGACAATTTCTAACTACAGAACTCTCCAAATATGCACTCTAAAAATAACTCCTTGCGACCCGTGTTCACACAGCATTTATTCTTCTCATTTGTTTATTGTCATTTACACTTTGACAAATCACATAACTAGCCCTAAAAAAAATATTCTCCCCAACCAGCCCTAAAAAAAAAATTCCCCCCCCCCCCCCCAAACAAAATCACTATGTGCCATCCCCATAACCTGACCACACTCACAAACCCAGTTCATAACACATACATGTGTCTGCAGAGTGCAGGAGTTTTCTGCTATTATTGCTCTTCTTTATGAAAAAAATAATAATGTTTAATTCTACTTTATTATAAAGTTACCTGAGTTGGAAGTTTAGCATGGCTTTCCAAGCTCTTTAGAATTTTATTAGCAAGCTTAGGTGGTCAACTATTTATTGAAAAGGATTCAGAAAGCAATATTGAAGAACCTATGGTTGAAAATGGTCTCTATCTGACTTAAAATATAGTGCCAGTTGCTGGTTAGTTGGCAGTGAACTTGTGAAAATGCTATTTTATGTTAATGATTATCTAATCTCATTCATTTTTAGCTTAACATAAAAAAACATGATCCATTAATTTTCATTTAACATTACACCGTTCAAGACCACAAGTTGCACATACTGAAAGCTCCTTGCTAACAGCAAACAATTAATGGATTATGTTTTTTTATATTAAGCTAAAAATGAATGAGATTAGATAATCATTAAAATTCATTTTTAGCTTAATATAAAAAAACATAATCCATTAATTTTCATTGTTTTATATTTTATATCTTGTTTTTTAATAATGAAAAAACTATATGTTTCCAAATTAAATGGATCTATCCCCATTGGCTGAGAAGCCTTACATTAAAAGGAGGTTCGGCAGGAGTTTTTTTAAGTTGCTATAGTATTTTTATGAAGCATTTAAAAAAATGACTAGTGTAGACTTAACAGATTGTCTGTTTATGGAGAAGTTACGTCTTTCCAAAACTACTTTAAGAAATATTTAGATGAAGCTATTTTGTATAAACAAATGTAAAAAGATTAATGAAAACTGTAATTCTTACTGCTCATCCTCTCAGACCCGTCACCGCCAGTGCAAAAGTCAAGCACAGGCCTACACCTCGTTATGGTACCTTGCCGGGGCAGACGGCAACCCTCACTCAACGCCAGTTCAATAGCACTGGGGACATCAGAGATGCAGTTTATGAGGAGTGGTATAAGGAGCATGTGAAAGCAGCAAGACAGAGGAAGAAAGTAGAGGAGAGGAAGGCTAAAGAGGAAGAGGAGAAAAAAATGAAAGTGAGCCCAATCAAGCTGTTGAAATTTACTTTACACCTTAATGAAATTCAGGCATCAAATCAAACTGTTGGGAATATCAGGGGTGTGGAAGCTACACTTTAAACATGGCTGTGGCTCTTAGTTTCTTTTAAAATACTGCTCTTATTTTTTTTTAAAACTGAGCGCATTTATCCTTTGAATCACAATTCTTGCCGTTTATGTTATTTTAATGCAGTAAATGTGTAGGCCTTAAATATAGACAAACCGATTGCCTGGGTCACTGCAATGTGTAATAATTTATCTCTTTTTGTAATGATTTAATTTCTAAACTGTTGCATGCAATGTCCATATTAATCACACTAATATTCTTTTACAGGAAAAAGAAAGAATTCGTTTGGAGGCTGAAGCATCCTACAAATCCTGGGCTAAGACTAAAAAAGAAATCTCACTGACAGAGAGAGAGAAAAGGGAACAAGAGGAGGCATTGAAGAAGCAAAAAGAAGAGCAGGAGAAAGAGCAGAAAATATTGGAGTCACAGAAGGTAAGTCAACATTCCTGTCAAATTTTATGAAAATGTTTCTGTATTTCCTTGGTGATAGTTTCAGGCCCATTTTTAACAACAATTCTGATGCTTCAATACTCTTCTTGTCTTTGAACTGTTGTGCAGTATGTTACTATGGATTCTTATTACTTTTTTCTTAGTGAGAGTCTTTTGATTTTTCAATGAATAAAATCAGTAAGAAAATGTTGTCTGTGCATATTGGCATATGAGTAGAACAGGCAACTTGTCTCAAGGCCTCATTTGTACCATTGGTACCAATGCTTTTATCTGTAAGTGGAATTGTAGGCCACGCTTTTACAAAAATACAAAAACAGAGTGTTCACCACCCAACACTGTCATGGAATTTGTTTGACCTTGGGGTTAGGTTATCACAACATGGCATGAATGGCGTCTCCCCCACTGCTTAAAATACTTAAATATTAGGAAAGCATTTTTTTTCTTTTCACATAAGTTCAATAACTTAATTCTTGGGAACCCTAGGGAATTATGCTATAAATTATGTCTTGTGGGAAAGTGGATTTTATTCTCTATACCTTAGTTTATTTTCAAGTCTACATCTTTAGATGATCTTGTAATATTAAGTAATTAAGGGAGTTTTCACATTCAAGACCTGATTTTCCTTGAGTTTATAATGTATCAACAACAAAATCACACCCTGCCTCTCTCGCCACACATTTGCAGATTTTTTTTTTGCACCATGAGCAGGATATATAGTGTGTCAACAACCCACTCCTCACCACTTAGTTACACATCATAGAATCATAATTCTAAGTCATATGTCCCACTTAATTCTATGTTATATTTAATGAAAGTTTAAATAAATATTACCGATGTTAATCTTTGTTTGTGCTTGTCTGCTTCTAAATAGATGGGAAAATGCTGTTATAATACATAAAAATTCAATATCCCTAGTTGTTTATTTGTCTAGTTCTTATATTCTTCACAGTAATTTCCCATTAGTTGACTATTGTCTGCTTCTCCAAAATTGAGAGCAGTCATAAATAATTCAAATTTAATACAAAATTGTTTTTTAAAAAAAAAAAGGCATCATAAAAAGAAAAAAAGTTAAAAAACGTATCTATCTCAGCCAAATGACTCTAGACACTAATAAAAGGGAATGAGGAATATTTGGTTGTTGTTTTGTCAAAAAATGTAGGTCTAGGAGTTGAGACTGCTTAGCTACTTATATTCTATAATATATATATATTTTAAAAAAAATTATTATAAAATTTTTCATAACCTTTTTCAGTCATTTGAATCTTGGAGAAAAAAGAAAGAATCTGTTCTTAAAAAAGAACAAAAGAAAAAAGAAGCATTGTTAATGCAAACACAAGAAGAGAAAGAAAGAGAGAAAAGAGAAAAAGAAAAAGATAGAAAGACAGCTTTTAATGGATGGTAATTTTTTTCTGTTTTGTCAGATTAAAAGATCTTATTGAACCCAGATTTTTTACATAATCAAATGACTTTCTAGCAATTAGACAATCTTGTTAATTTATGTAACTGGGGATGAAATCAAAGAAATCAGTTCTAATAATTAACATGCAATAATTCTTTCAAATATTTTGAAGTTGGTCTCATAGACTACAATAAGCTATTGTTATTTTGAAGTTGGTCTCATAGACTACAATAAGCTATTGTTATTTTAAAATTGGTCTCATAGACTACAATAAGCTATTGTTATTTTAAAGTTGATCTCATAGACTACAAATAAGCTATTGTTATTTTTAAGTAACTACAATAAAGCTATTGTTATTTTGCATAAGTAAAAAAGTGGAAGATTTCTTGAGTTGTATAGAAACATAGTTTGCTGCTATGTGAACAAGAAGGCTTCTCATAGTAGCTAGATGTCTTTGGACCTTAAGTTTGCTGCTATGTGAACAAGAAGGCTTCTCATAGTAGCTAGATCTCTTTGGACCTTAAGTTTGCTGCTATGTGAACAAGAAGGCTTCTCAGTACCTAGATCTCTTTGGACCTTAAGTTTGCTGCTATGTGAACAAGACGGCTTCTCATTGTAGCTAGATCTCTTTGGACCTTAAGTTTGCTGCTATGTGAACAAGAAGGCTTCTCATTGTAGCTAGATGTCTTTGGACCTTTAGTTTGATGCTATGTGAACAAGAAGGCTTCTCATTGTAGCTAGATGTCTTTGGACCTTAAGTTTGATGCTATGTGAACTAGAAGGCTTCTCATAGTAGCTAGATCTCTTTGGACCTTAAGTTTGCTGTCATGTGAACAAGAAGGCTTCTCATAGTAGCCATATCTCTTTGGACCTTAAGAAAATAATTAAACCACTACTTTTTAATTAAAATTATTTTTCAACTGAGATTGTCCCATTTCATAAATGATGTACTGGGGTGTTTTCTAAAAAAAAATATGCAATCCATAATATTAATTTAAAAGCTTATGATTCAGTTGAAAAATTAACTATAGTAGCAATCAAAATTAGCTTAACTAAATTTTGTAAGCAAATCTCTATTGTCTTCTATTTCCTAAAGCTTGCAGGGTTGTTATTGAAATTATGTTTATGATGTTTGTGATTTGATTTGATCAGTGGAGGCAGTGTACAAAAATCAAACTATGATGGCTTATGACAACCCATTTCTATGGATAATGCAGATTATTTGGACATTTTATCACACAGTAGTATCTAAACATTATTTAGAAATAGAAATTTTAGACTAGTGCCCTAATTAAAATGCATTTAATATCATTTAGGCGCCATCCATAAATGACTTCATGTTTGGACACCCTGCAACACCCCTCCCCCCCCCCCTTTCCACAAATTTTCCACACAATTCAGACACCCTAATAATACATTGTCAAAAATTTTCGAGCTCCCCTAATGCATGACATTTATGGATGGCCCCTTACTTGTAAATAGAACTTTCTAGTTACCTTTACACACATTACAATATGCATGTATATACATATATACGTCATTTCAGGGAGAGGAAGAAAAAACAAGATCTTTTGAAGCAAATAAATCAGAAGAAATCTCTGAACAAAAGTGCCCAGCAGTTAAAAGCTGAAGAGCAGGAAGCCCTGAGAAAGAAGGAAGAGGAAGCTATAGAACAATACAACAATTGGCTGGAAGAAAAGGTAGGACGGTTTTAATTTTTATTAGATCTCTATAGAAAGAATATTCTTCCCTACCCTGGAAAAGACTGTTACGTCTTTCAACCTAATATAAGAAAAGACACGAAAGCCTGCTTCTAAAGCAAGCAAGAAAACATACTTTACAACAAAGATAAAACTTTATTTGACAATATCGTCAAGTGTTGGTGAACATGAACAACGAATATCTTTACATAGATGGTCTTTTAATAAAACTAAAGCCCAGAATAAAAGTAGTTACAATTTCCAAAGTGCACAAGTATGAGTGAAAGATGAGGTTTGAAAATAGCCTTCATAAGCAACTACCTTCATAAACAAAATTCAAAAATACTTCTAGTCACAATGACATAATAAAAATATCTGAATTCAGAGGATTGTAATTAAGTTCTTACTTTTCAAAAATTAATTCAGTATCTTAGCCTGAGAAAATGAACAACACTAACACACAAACTGGAAAATGGGGCTCTATTAGCTTCTCCGACCCCAATTTCAACATGAACGTTAGCTTTTACACTGGTCTGGCTGGCACATCAGAGTCCAATTCAACTATGGAGCCATAGGGGAATGTACTGTTAAGATTAGGGGTATACTGTAAAATCAAAGGTGTACTGTAAAATCAAGGGTGCACTGTAAGATTAGGGGTGTACTGTAAGATTAAGGGTGTACTGTAAGATTAAAGGTGTACTGTAAGATTAAGGGTGTACTGTAAGATTAGGGCTGTACTGTAAGATTAAGGGTGTACTGTAAGATTAAGGGTGTACTTTAAGATTAAGGGTGTACTTTAAGATTAGGGCTGTACTGTAAGATTAAGGGTATACTGTAAGATTAGGGCTGTACTGTAAGATTAAGGGTATACTGTAAGATTAAGGGTGTACTGTAAGATTAAGGGTGTATTGTAAGATTAGAGCTGTACTGTAAGATTAAGGGTGTACTGTACGATTAAGGGTGTACTGTAAGATTAGGGGTATACTGTAAGATCAGGGGTGTACTGTAAGATCAGGGGTGTACTGTAAGATCAGGGGTGTACTGTAAGATCATAGGTGTACTGTAAGATCAGGGGTGTACTGTAAGATCATAGGTGTACTGTAAGATCAGGGGTTTTCTATAGTAATAAATGAAGGTACAGGGGATCAGATGATACCACTAACTTTGTGAACAATTTCTCTGAACATTAATCTTAAGATGGTAACTCAAATAGTGAAATAGTTTTGATTTCCTGACAATATCATTGTGACATTTTAAATAAATAATGCTGTGACATTATTTCAGAGTCTTTCTTTAAGCTGTATCTTTTTTTTCTTCAGGAAAAGCAGGCTAAGAAGGAAAAGCAAAGAAAAATGATGGAAGATGAATTTAAGCCTGCTTGGTTTCCGGCAAGTCGTACAATTCCATTTGGAAGATAATCGAATTTTGGGTCTCTAATCTCTTCTTTTTAGAAAGCTATTCATTTAGCAGTAAATTTGATCAAACAAGATCATCGAAAGGCAGATTGATCCGACAAATAAATAAACAATATAGAATGTAGATTTTGTGTACGCACAAATACTAAACAAATATATTTGTACAAGCTTTAAATGATATATTTATTGATGGACTATATTTCTTTAAAATACGCACAATACAATAGATAGGATAATAGTTATTGTTGCTGTTTTTCTTTTCAAATGAATTTATCACATGTGATAAAGTGTCTCAGTAAGTGTACTCTTGGGTATTAATTTTTTTCATGTATATTTTATATTATATTTATTTTAACATTTTAAGAGATATACTCTTTTGGAACTTTTACAAAATAATTTATGCAAAAAAATAATAGTAAAAAAAAAACTTTAGTAATGCATAGTTATGAAATTATTTATGTTTTGCAAAAAATGAATTTTAATGAAATATTAAAATAGCATATAATTGCACAAACTTCAGAAGACCAATTTTATTCACATAATCTAATTGTGGAATTGCTGTTCATGGCTTTGGCACAAAATAAGCACACAATTTAAATTTGTGTTGTCAAACCTTCACCTAATTCACTTTTCAGGCCCTTTAAAGATATTCTTTAAGAATGATGAAATTGAACATAGCTTTAAAAACGCTTTGTTACTTCCCTTTGAACAAAAAAAGTTACTGTCTTGTTGTTGCTTTTTTTTTGTTGTTGTTAATATTTCTTATATTATAAAATATTTTAAGCCGTCAACCGCATTTTTTCGAGTTTTTGTTTTATTACTATTTTTAAACAGATATTGCCCTAAAATTTTCTGTAAAAAATGCTGATGTATTTGCAACATATACAAAGTTAATTAACTTAGGAGATACAAAACTCTACTCATAAGAGATTTGAAAACATTTGTGTCATTGTTGAAAATAGAAATATTTCTTATCCCATGGGTGAGGGATTCCATGTGCTGGAAAGTGGATTCACAAGTAGTTGGAGTAACTGTGGTCACTGGTATTACAATTTTTTGAACAATACTTATAGGATTTATAGAATTTCCTTAACATTGGAGGTTTGATGGTAAAATTTAAAATCAATATCATAACAGGCTTCAATAAACGGGAGGGTTATAGGGCAATAAAGAATAGGTCACGTTATTTGAATTAAGAATGTTTGGTTTTGTGAAGAACAGGAAAAACTAATTTCCATATGTGTTTCATTTTCTGTTGATGAGTTGTAACTTCTGTCAGCTGTTGAGAAAGTTAGTTCTGCCAATTCTATGTATATAGCTTTGTGATATGAGAATGGAAATACTTATTTTCTTGAATATGAATAACCTTTTTAATGTTTTTGTATTTACTCATTTTGGTGTTACACTGACATATAGAGAGACATATCTTGAAATGTTTAATACCGGTTGTTTCTATTTATGGCTGTTTAGAATTACTAACACATCTACAGTTGGAATGTAAAATTAAACCAAATCATTTGTGAGTCTTGAAGTTGAAGACATGACATGATTTCATTATGTTTTTTTTAGCAAACCTTTTCAATGTACGGTGAACTATATGTTTAGGATTTATGTGTAATTTTTTAATATTATTTTTTAAAAGTATTTGTAGTCTCTAATTGAAATTTTTGTTAAATGTGATGCTGATTATCTATTTTATTTGTCTTGTGATGGTTTATTGTTGTATCATTCCATCAGTATAAAAAAAAATGCATGAAATAAGTTTCTGTTTTTTTCCATACAGAAAGAGAGATTCACATTTACACCATCTCCTTGGCTGAGTTGGGATGTTGTTAGTAATAAAACATTATGCTCACCTACAATGTCTCCATTTTTTAACAATTCTTGGCACATTGGCTGCTGACTTGAAAACTTTTTTGTTTCTATACTGGTAGTACTTCCAGCCATTTGATCCAATCAACAATTTGATCTTTTTATGCATTTTAAAACAAAAGCAACTAAGAGATTAACCAAGTTCATGTTTAAAAATGTGCTGTGCATGTAATTTGTGATATTTAATTATTTTAACTCTACTTTCAGTTGATTTGACATTTCAGTAATATGTAACACATCAGTGTTAGATCCAGGAGGTAGGGGTTGTGATGTTGTTCACCTTAAATCAAGAAATACTTTTATTTATCTATCAGGTAAAAAAATGAATACATTCACTGTTTTAGTTTTATGCAATTCATAATTAAAACTAAAACGCCCCCTCCCCCCACTCCTCTCCCCCCCCCCCACACACACACACACTCCCAAACTTTACGACAAATTATGCATCCGCCATTGGTGTCATAACATAAAAAAATCAAAAGTGAATAAATCAAGAAATACTTTTATTTATCTAACAGGTAAAAAAATGAATACATTCACTGTTTTAGTTTTATGCAATTCATAATTAAAACTAAAACGCCCCCCCCCCCCCCTCCCCTCCCCCCCCCCCACACACACACACACTCCCAAACTTTACGACAAATTATGCATCCGCCATTGGTGTCATAACATAAAAAAATCAAAAGTGAAAATATATTTTCAAAAAAAAATTATAAAATCGAAGCGTTATCCTTGCCTACAACTAGTTTTATTTTCTGTTGGAACAATTACCAAGACAATGGTTGACTTCCGTTTTGACCTGGTGGAGTTGGCGCCTTGTTAACACTATTTTCACTACAGACCAATACCAGCGATATATCTGATGAGGTCCACAGCACACACGTACACGTGTTAACATTTTACACTGATATCAACTCGGATCAATGGTGCCAGAAAAACGTCTATGCAGACGCCCATATCTCCACCTTCCACACGGAGCCGCTTTTTGACCTCATACAACTTCTCATCCCAATTCATCCTACACTCAGTCTCAGATGCCAAACCTCAGTCTCAGATACCCACCCTCAGTCTCAGATGCCAAACCTCAGTCTCAGATACCCACCCTCAGTCTCAGATGCCTACCCTCAGTAGTGTCACAGATGCCTACTCTCAGTCTCCAAGATGACTACCCTCAGTCTCTAAGATGACTACCCTCAGTCCCAGATGCCTACCCTCAGTCTCCCAGATGACTACCCTCAGTCCCAGGTGCCTACCCTCAGTTTCCCAGATGCCTACCCTCAGTCCTAGATGCCTACCCTCAGTCTCCCAGATGCCTACCATCAGACTCCCAGATGCCTACCCTCAGTTTCCCAGATGCCTACCCTCAGTCCTAGATGCCTACGGAGTCAGAGGGTCTACGGATGGCTCAGTCCTAGATGCCTACCCTCAGTCTCCCAGATGCCTCCCCCCAGACTCCCAGATGCCTACCCTCAGTTTCACAGATGCCTACCCTCAGTCCTAGATGCCTACCCTCAGTCTCCCAGATGCCTACCATCAGACTCCCAGATGCCTACCCTCAGTCTCCCAGATGCCTACCCTCTGTCCCACATGACTACCATCAGTCCCAGATGCCTACCCTCAGTCCCATTTGCCTACCCTCAGTCTCCCAGATTCATACCCTCAGTCTCACAGATGCCTACCCCCAGTCCCATATGACAACCCTCAGTCCCAGATGACTACCATCAGTCCCAGATGCCTACCCTCAGTCTCCCATATGCCTACCCTCATTCCCAGATGCCTACCCTCAGTCCCAGATGCCTACCCTCAGTCCCAGATGCCTACCCTCAGTCCGAGATAACTACCCTTAGTCCCAGATACTCCCATGCCATGATTGATACTTACCACTCCCATGACATGATTGATACTTGCCACTCCCAGGACATGATTGATGCTTACCACTCCCATGACATGATACTTATTCTATAAAGAATATAATGAAGAATTGTCTCAGAAAGACTAGAAATTAACCTTAAAACGGAAGCCTTTCTCGTGTGGACTATAAGCCTGAACAATACTTATTGTAATAACGGAAAAAAAAACACTATTCAGGGTCGTCTCTGCCATTTCGCAAGACTAGGCGGCTGACTAGAGTGGCACAATTTAGGGGCGGCAAAAGTGCGTAAAAAATTAAATAAATCAAACAGCGGGGAAAAAAAAGAAGCAAATTAGGACAAATATTAAATAGAAGATTTTTTTTAAAAGTTTTGATGATTGTTTGATTTGGAATACAAGTTCTTCTAAATTGAAAATACATTAATTCTGCTGGCGTGGATGACACGGAAAAAAAGAGGGGTGGGGGTGTTAAATAAGGGAGCAGGCGGCATTTTCCAGTTCTCGCCTAAGGCGGCAAAACACTGTTAAACGCATATAATCGCCTTTCAGACCAAAGTAACGAAACAATTGACAGTGACAGGATGAACGTTACAAGAGAAGAAACTTGACACGCGTAATTTACATATTACGAGGAATTGACCCGGATGTAGTTGCGACTTGAATCGTCCGATTGTAAAGGAGATGCATGAATGATACAGGATATTTTTTTATCGCACAAAGTGCAGTGTGTGGCCCAGACATAAGAAGGTGAAGACATTTTTTTAAAAGTTATTGAAATAAAAAAAAGGGTGGGGGTGGGTGGGGGTTGTTGGGGTGGGTGGGGGTTGTTGGGGTGGGTGGGGGGTTGTTGGGGTGGGTGGGGGTTGTTTTACGCACGAATAGGCGTGCGGTGTGTTTCGTTTTAAAAAATAAATTCCCAAGATCCTTGAAATAAAAAAAAACAAAAAAAACAACAAAACCAACCACTTCTTAAATATTTTTATGATCTTGGGAAATGTTTTGACCAAATATGGGAATTAAAGAAAAAAGTGAGTGACAGCCCGCTACCGGGGCCTTTAAGTGGAAATGGGTTTCATTGACAATTCATGGTTGACGTTTTTCTCGCTAATTCTAGCTGATCCAGGAATGAAATCTGACAACGTGGGTCTGGTAATAATAATGAAATGAAATTTTAAACAAATCAAAATTAAAGACAACGATACTGGCGTATTATATTTATAGGGTGAAGCGTGGCCAGAGATTATATTTTTGGAGCGGGTGAGACCAACAGAGGCTTTTATTAACCCCCCCCCCCCCCCNCCCCCCAATAAACTTCTCATATAGGAGACGAGAATCACATGACCCATCACTTTAGCCTATTGCGTATTACTATTACTCAGCCCCCCCCCCCTTTCCCATTTTTCGTATTGGGAGCAAAGTGGCAGTTGTATGCATAACTTTAACATTGGTTGTTTACAGAATTTTAGTTAATAGAGAAGATTTAACATATACAGTAGACTAAAGATCAGAAGATGTAGTCATTAGTCATACAGTGTGTAAGTGTAAGTGTATACTCACCATGTTTCACCTTTAACTGCAATGAACAATAAGGATATGAACATTTTGGCTTAGATATTTGAAATAAAGCTTTGTGGGAAAGTATCCCCGTGGATGATTGGCAAGGGTTTGTCCATAAAGTACGTCACGTTCAGGAAAGGGGAGGGGGGGTGGTCTAAGAAAGTGTGTCAGTTTGTGACACACCGGGAGGGGGGGGGGTTGATGGAATGGTATATCACCACACTGAGGGGACGGGTTAAATCAAATGTTATGTCACTCGTTTATGTGTTTTTTCCATAGAAATAAAAGGTGGAATTGACCGTGATGTTTAGCTTTCTGTTGTTTTGTACAAACCCTGACAGAAGAGTTCACTTAGCAGTGTCTAAGTTGAATAGTGAGGCTTGTTTTAGATTGAATTTTAATTAGTTATTCATTTTATTTTTTAAAAGATTAGTTTTGGATGTGTGACGTAGCCTACTTCAGGAAAGGGTCGGGGGGGGGGGGTGTTGTGTTTCCGAGATTCGTGAAATTGTGATGGGGGAGGAGATAACAATTAGGGTTGCCAGATGTCCACTATTTGAGTGGGCAGTCCGCTTTTTTTTCACATTATTAGACATTATGTCCACCTTTTTTTTCTCCACAAAATAGTAGAAATGTTGTTTTTTTAAATTTTTTTTTTACCACTTAGACCCTCTCCCTCCACCCCCACCCCTCCGATTCCCCGCTATTTTTTGGAAGCAGACCTGGCAACCCTGGTAACACTTTGTCCAAAATAGCGTGACGTACTTCGTGGACTGCTGTGCCGTTGGGAACGGTGGATTTAACAATGTGATCGTTTGAGTTGCCCGTCATTTTCTCAGTTCACACTCTATATCTGTACGGACTTTTTCATTGGTTGAGCTCAGTTTTGTAGACCCTAGTTTAGCGGCATGACTACTATCCCGTGCAGGTTTGGACCAAGCTGGTCAAAGGTCAATCCGACTATTGGAAAATGTATGTGATGCCCCTCTTTTCTTAACGCCCTAACCACGCACTTTTATTTTCACCTAAGACGATTTAAAATGTCCTGTTTATTTATTAGAAAATTTCCTGGCTTAAAATGTGAAAATGTCCCGTTTTTTAGATTCGAAAGTGTACTGTTTAAATTTGAAAATGTCCTGTTTTTATATTTTTAAATTTTTTTTTTTTTTTTTTAACATACTGGAAGAAAAAAAAAAAAGGGCCACCTTGCTTAACGACGATGCTCTCGTCTAGGTTTGTTATTACCCACTAGATTTCACCAGAGAACAATTCTCACATTACCTGAGCTGTACACTTTTTAAAACGTGGTTTTCCCCCATGATCTTTATAAAGCTATTATGCTTTTTTAAAATAATAATGGTAATAATAATAACTAATTTCTCCTTGTTTACGATCAGCTGGTGATAGACGGGAACTAAAATAATGTTGCTCTTTTTTAAATTTGCAATGAAGCCAAATACTTTGAGAAATTGCTTTGAAGTCGAGCTCTAAAACTCTAATTAAAAGAAAAAAAAAAGAATAAGAT